TTCCCTTGCTCTGTTCTGACGACTGCCTCCTGGTTTAGGCAAATTTAAACAAAGATTTATTTAAGCAAGTTAATTACAGTGTAAGAGGAAGTAGCTTGCATATTAGAACTGTTAAAATGCAAGAGATCTAGCTTAAACTGGTATGTTCCTACATGGATGAATAAGGAGGTTTTTAGAAATGTGTTTTTCCTAGATCCCACCCCTGTTCTGCTGAATTAGAATCTTTAAGGTTCCCCCGGGTACTTTTTACATTTGGGAACTGGATACAACTTTGTGATCAAGTACTGCTGGCTAGGGCTCTTCCTACTCTTCATGTTGTCGTGTGTCAGTGAATTGTTCACAGCAGCTCTGTGTGCAGTAGAACATAGGCCAGTCCTGTTCCACCTTCACACACACTCTGCTGTACTTAGGCCCATTATTGCATCATCCACTGTGTTAAGAGTTTTTTGGTTTTTTGTTTTGGTTTGGTTTTTTTACCAATTTACCAAGCGTGTTATCTTTTTCCAGGGACTCATCTTTTCTGCTATGCCCAAAGTTGTGGCTAGGTGCCATTGAGTTAATTACAACTCATAAGCTGCCATGTCCTGGGCCATTCTCTCCATCTTGAGCCCATTGTTGCAGTCACTGTGTCAGTCCATCCTGTTGATCTGATTCTTTTTCTCTAACCCTCCACCTTCCACAGTTTAATGTCTTTTTCCAAGGACTGTTACCTCCTGACATCATACCCAAAGTATGTGAGACGATGTTTCACCATCCTTGCCTCTTGAGGAACACCCTGACTGCAGTTTCTCCAAGACAGACTTATTGTTCGGTAGTCCATAGAATATTCAATATTCCTATCCAACATCACAGGTCAAAAGCATCAATTTTTCTGTCATGCTTATTCATTCCCCAGCTTTCACCTACATAAGAAGAAATTGAAAGTCTCATGACTAGAGTCTGGTACGCCTTTGTTTATAAACTGATACCATTGCTCTGTAGTAGTGTCCCTGACAGATTTTTCCCAGTGTGACTTACTTCTCTTTTGATATTCTGAACTACTGTTGATTATGGATTCACATACAAGTAAATTTTTGACAACTTTAATCTTCTCCATTTGTCATCATGTCAGTGCAGCAATGAGGATTTTTGTTTTCTTCTTGAGATGTAATTCTTATTGAAGTCTGTAGTCTCTAATCTTCTGCAGCAAGTGTTTCACATCCTCTTCACTTTCTGCTAGCAGGGTTGTATCATTTGTATAATGCAAGTTTTGATGAGTTGTCTCCAATATTGATGCCACACTCTTCAGAAAAGCCAGCTTCTCAAATAATTTACTCAGCATACTGATTGAATGGAGAATGGAGGTATGGAGAATGATACAACCCAGATGCACACCTTTCCTTGATTTTGAACCATGCAGTAGTGTTCCCCTGTTCTGTTTAGGTAACCGGATTCATAACATCTTTCTTTTTTGCACACTTTATTATAAATTATTATAGCTATATGTGGAGTCAGCTTTTAACCTTCTCAGTTCAGCCCCATTAGGTAGCATATACCCTTGCAAATATGTCACCGATTAAAAATAATAATAAGATTCGAGGCTGAAAATGGCTAGGTTTAGCTATGTAACAAAAGATGATAATAATTGGGATTGAAGTGAAAGCTTAAAAATAATCAGTGGTAGTGATTGAGGAAAACAAAACCAAGAATAACTTTGAGTACTTGTATTAGAAAGTCTGCTGTGAAAGCCCTCTCTAAAGTACTGAAGAGCAACAGTGTCAGTTTGGAGACAAAGGTGCACCTGATACAGGCCATGGTCTTTGCAGTTACTTGCTGTGCATCAGAAAGCTGGACAATGACTAGGAATGATAAAAGAAGAATTGATCCTTTTGAGCTGTGGTGCTGGAAAAGAGTATTGATTGTACCATGAACTGCTAGGAGAGCAAACAGGTTCGTCCTGGAGAGGGTGAGACCAGGCTGCTCCTTGGAGGCAAGGATTCTGAAGCTTTATCTGACATACTTTGGACATGTTGCAAGGAGGGACTAGAGCTTGGAGAGGGGCGTCATGCTTGGGAGGTTGGAGGGACAGCATAAAAAAGGAAGACCCTTGATGAGATGTATTGATTCGATTGACTAGGGTCATAAGGGGTAGGTGTGTCTATGACAGTAAGATTGGCACAGAATAGTGTAAGTTACAGGGCTGTTATACATAGGGTCACAATGAGTCATAAGCGACTCAACAGCACATAACAATAACAACTGTATTAGATAGTTTCCATTTTCTCTAGGGAAAATTCTTTTTGAGTAAATTTCACTAATGACAAATACTGGGCCCATCTGTCTTGCCTTTAGCTCTGCTTTGGACATGGCTTTTGATTAAAATGTCAGAGCCTAGTTCTATAGCTTACACTGTACTGTGAAGTACAAAGTGGTAGAGTAATTTTGTCTCTACTTCCATAGTGTTTTGAGTCTTATGGAAGAGATGCACTTATGAAAAGGCAGCTCCTGTTACTATATTGGAATCCCTAGAGGTTGCAAATGGTTGTCTTAGTCACTGGAACCTAGAAGTTCAGGAGTTTAAGTCCATCCAGAAGATACTTTTAAGAAAGATCTCTAAAAGTTAGGCACTGAAAAGTCTGTGGAACACAGTTGGCCACTGAGATACGTTAGAATAGGCTTGAAGACAGCTGGCTTGATGAGTTTTGTTTTACCTTGCTATGTAGTAGTTCATCTATGATAAAAACTTAACTCTACCATTTTATTGCAGCATCATGGGCACACTTGTTATGTAGTAAAATATTTGCCAGTTGTTAAGAAGTTCTTATCAAAGGCTTACCCTCTGGCACAGATCGCTGTCCAGCTGGCATCTTTAAGCAAAGAGCTGACACTGGAAATACTAGCTGGAATCCTTTCTGGTAATAAAGCAAGCCAGTGAAGTGTCAGATTAATTTAATTTCTCCCCCCCCCCCCCATTGACAACTGAAATTCTGCTTTGACTAAATTTTAGTGATTTTTAAAGGATTTTTGTGCTTGCTAAAAATCAACTAAAGCTCTTCGCTTAATAAGATATTCCCAGTAACATGATAACATGATGACTACTTGCTTAGCCTTGTATGTGTGTTTCAGTTACATTTGTTAGCTTTTCCTTTTTTTTTTTCTTCTTATAAGGTAAATATTTCCCCCTGAAAAATAGGCTAAATAGAATGTTCTGCTCAATAAAGCATTAAATTCTCTTTTGATCTGATTAATTGTTCCATTCTGGGGGAGCTACATGTCACAAAAGAAGATATTTTGGTCTCTTGTGGTTGTTGTGTACCATCAAGTTGACCCTCTAGTGGGTCTTCAGAGGTATTAATCACATGAGAGATTTGTCCATCCTTCTCAGCAGAACAGCTGGCTGATTGAAACTTCGTGCCTTCAGGATTGCAGCACAGATTCTTAGCCAGTAGTCGGCCACCAGAGCCCAATAGTAAGGATATGAAATATGACAAATTTCTTAAGATTCTTGCTGTGAATAAACTAATAATGAATATTTATTGATATATAATGATAATGTCTTCCTCCTGCTTTGGCATTTCCCTCTTATAGAAGATATTCAGTGCTTGTAAAAATGTGCATACTTTTTTCTTTTTTTCTCCCTTTCACTCTGAATATTGAATGCATAAAATTTCTAGGATTTCTTTTTCTGCTTGGTTTCTTCTAAGCCTTTGCCACAGTGTTTCTGAACATTCCCTAGGGCTGCTTTAGTATTTGAAATAGCAGTGTAACTATCAAGTATCTACCCTATTTATTATCATTTTTGCTTGAAAAAAGATAATTATTTATTGATGACCTTAGGAGAAACTGTTAAGATCAGTAAGCCTCTTAGTACCCTTAAGTATTGACCTAATATTTTAATATGTAAAAGGAAATAAGAATTCTCTTTAGGAAGCAAAGTATTTTTTTCTCTTAGTTTGAAATGTTTTGATCATACTGATAAACATTTTCTAGAACCTTCTGCCTGTTGCGTACAAAAAGGAAAAATACTCTTCAAAAGACATGGATGCGTTTGAAAAAGTGAGAGCAAAATTAGAAACACAACCACAAGAAGATTATGAAATCATTAATGCAGAGGTAAGCTATCTCATGTTTCATTTTTTAAAATCTGAGAGTGTCTGGTCAAGGTGAAAAGGAGGTACTTTGTGATTTATAGACATACTCTCAAATCAAACTTATATTGCTTTGGGGCTCAAAATATGTTAGGAAAACTCAGCAAAGAAAATAAAGTGTGGTTCTGAAAAGAAATTATAAAGATTAAAACTAAGTCAGATGCCAGAGTATAATACATTATTCTGTATTTGAGAAGCAACCAACTCAGATGCTTTTTTATTTAAATAATCTCATGAAGCTCAAATGAAACTAATTAATAATTATTATCTGAAAAGAGTTCATTTCTTCTCTCTACACATTTCAGTTATAAAGCACATTTTAAGTAATAGTGTAATACTAGGGGGCTCTGGCCTGGTGTTAAGGAGGTGCTCTGCCAACTCAAGGACAAACTCTTCTAATCCACCAGTTGCTCCACAGAAGAAAGATGGGCAATCTTCTCTCACGTGATGAATGGAAAAAGCAATGGATTGAGAACCAGAAATTGATTTAAATTGTGCCCCCAAATAGTAGATAACATGTGTGTCTTAAGCTATATAAAATCATATTAACTAATTGTGTTTAAAATGTAGGTGAGCACTATTCTTAAATTGCTTCTATTTGTTTTATATAACATAAGAACTATATGTGGAACTACCTGTATCTACCAACAGAGGATAAGGTACTATATTAAAAAAAAAAAAAAAAGGAAAACACATAGATGGTAACAATATTGTAGGGGCAAAGTTTCAGAACCAGTTTTTTGGTTTTGTTTTTTGTTTTCTTAATTTTTCTTTTTATTAATTTTAATGAACATTTACAGAGATTTGGGATTTCCATTCATTCATTATTGCACTTCTCTCCCTGCCCACTCCTCCCCCCCAGTTTGCTCCCTTCTTGAAAAGTAAAAGAAAAATTCCTTCATTGGTATCAGAACCAGTTTTTCAGACTTATCTGAGTCAAAGTCTCATTGGTATCATTTGTTAATTAAAGATTCCACTTGAACTCTCATAACTTAATTAAATCTGTAATTTCTAAATTGTGATGTACTCTTAAGAGTGTCAGGTGTTCTCAGTATAGAGCTGAGGTGCTTTGTAGTCATGACATGAATTTGCTAGGACTTTTCTAATAAAAAGTGGCCCTAGCACAGATTTGAGCTGCTGAACTAAAGATGGCACCTCTTAGGAGTTGAGTCTATCACCATCTCTAAGGGAGAAAGATGAGCAGTCTCCAGAGTCCTGTACAGTTTACAGTCTCTGAAAACCTACTGGAGGGTCAGCCATGAGTTGGTTCTGACTGGGCAGCAATGAGTTTTGAGAGTTTTTTTAATGACTTTTTAAATTTATGTATTAGAAAGACATTCCCTAATGATGTGAACATAATGAAACTATATATTAGCCTTATGTTGTAAAAAGCAATTTAATATTTCATGTGTTTATTCAAATACTTCAACAGTCTCATTTTTATAAGCTATTCCTCTTAAGATTAAGTAGTCAGACTATTGAAAACTTTTATCTAAATTTAATTTGATTAAACAAGCTACTAAATAATGCATTTCTTTTCATTATCAGGTTAAACATGGTGGTTTTATTTACTACCAAGAAGGTGGCTACTTAGTTCGTTCAAAGGATGACGAAGGTACACCACAGTTATGCCTTTTCATGTGCTTTGATTTGACCTAGGACATTTGATAATAATTCCTCAAAGTTGTTTTGTGTGGCTCTTACGATTTTTATAAAGGTTATTTCTAAAATGTTTCTGATGACTAGTGTTTAATATCTGAGTCTGTTTGAAGTATAGTTAACAGTTAAGCTTAAAATTTTTGTGCAGAGATAGGTGTGAACCAACTTTTTTTTTTAGTATCTGCTGTGTCTTGGGTACTATGCTAAACTTCACATAAATCATTCAGTGCTGTTTACAATTGTCTAGGTTCTACAAGGTATAAAAATACTAGACTATAAAAATATGAAATAGGTTAATGCAAACAATAATATTAAATACCAGCATATTTCAGAAATAACTAATTCTACTGTATGTGCAAGCAAGGCTGCTAAAGAAGAATGTTAGTTTGAAGCCATGAAAGAAAGCTGCAAAACACTTGAAGGTCACTTTGTGTATTTAATATATTTTGTACTTTTGTTGCAGACGGTGATAACTATGAAGTTCTACTCAATTTGGAGGAACTTAAATTAAACCGTCCTATAATTGATTGTATCCGAGTTGCTCCAGATGAAAAGTACTTGGCAGCCAAGGTCAGATCTCAGCATTCTGAATCATCTTCCTGCCTAGTTGTGAAGATCTTTGATCAGCCGGCAGTGGAAGCTTCTTTCCCAAATGTGTCCAGTGTGGGTAAGCCACTAGCCAGATTAGTCTTCTGTGTTGTGAAGGGAATAGTAGAAGAGTCACTCCTACATTGGGAACGTCTTTACTCTCTGTATGAGTAAATAAATGAATGTGTTCATGATCCATTTATCCCTGTTGACTACACATCTTCTCTTAGGTCTCTTACTGAGGAACTCATCCCTTCTTTAATTAGATATCTAAATAAGCTAATTTTAAAGTTGTATTCATTTTTTTTAGAAAAGAATTAAGAAGAAATAAGTTCTTTGCTAACTTTATTATTTAGAATAATTTTTTTATAAATTAACTTTAATCATCTTCCAAATTGTTTAACTGAGGTTTTTATCACATTAAGTTGACAATATACTCTGCCTTGGTTCTAATACATTTCATGTATTTTAATCTAGTATCAAGATTCATATTATGGAAGGTGATGATGATGTCTTATAGTTACTGTCAGCCAGGTGACAGTCATGATGTAACAGAAAACTTCTGGACATGTTCTGCTGAGATCAAGAAAGCACCAACATTAAAGCGTAGTTGGTAGCTTCAGGTGCCCTGTCACTTAAAGACAGACAGAAGAGATAGTGTTGTTATGTGCTGTCAAGCTGGAAACTACTCACTGCTGACCCTCCAACAGGTTATAAATCACGAGGGTGGCAATTGCTCATTTTTCTCCTTTAGAGGAGCTGGTAGATTTGAACAAGTGTGCTGCTGGGTTGGCAGTAATCCAATAGAGCTCCATAAAGAGATGATGTTATGTACCACTGAGTTGGCATCAGCTGACCCTCCAGTGTGTCTTCAGAGGCAGTAAACTAACTACACGGGAGGAGATTGCTGGTTTTTCCCCACAGAGAAGCTCATGGATTCAAGTGGAGTGCCTTTTGGTTAAAAGCACACCCCTTTTCCACTAAGCCACCTGAGCTCCCTCTGAAGAGATGTAGGAAACAAGAAAATGTACATTAATTCTTTCAGATTTAAAGTTGTAGATTTAAACATAACTCATATCCTAAATACAAATGTGCCTTTACCATATAATTTCCCATATAATTGAATTTACAGCTCTTTTTTGGAAACTTGATTACCCAAGACTAATGACTCCTTGACAGCTTTGGAATTGATGAAGTAGTATTTAATTCTCTGGAAAACACTCTTGTTTATACGTAGTATTTATTCAGTTCAGTCATATTTGTCGCTTGTTTCCAAGGATAAATTGGCCCTCTAGCACTCAAAATTAAGATATTCTGTGTTTTGTGTTGAGCTTTTTCAACTCTTAAGAAGGTTGCTGAGTATAGTTCTTCAATTACTGCTTTTTAGAATGGGTAAAAGATGAAGAAGGGGAAGATGTTTTATTCTACACTTTCCAGAGAAACCTACGCTGTAATGACGCATATCGAGCCACTTTTGGTGAAAACAAACGTAATGAACGTTTCTACACGGAAAAAGACTCCAGGTACTAGAATTATGTATTTAAATATTTTTCTCTGGTATATGCATTACATATCCAAATAATTTTTCACCTTTACACATGATTTTGTGCTCTGATATTCCTTTCTATAAATATAAAGCTAGTTTTTTAAAACAGCCTTCGTAACAACCAACACATTTCGACTAGTCCTAAACACGAAGTCTGACAAATTATGAAGTGAATATTTATACAAATCACAGTTACCTTATTCTGCATTGCTGAAAGCAAAGTCCACTAAGGCACCTGTGGCTGTTGCATGCCAAGATTTTGGTCAGACGGCTTGGAAATGTACTGTATTTATAAAATACATGCCAGATATTTAAGACTTCCTACTAAAAGAATGACTACAAAATACTTCATTGGTAATAATTTTTATGACTTTATGCTAAAATTATCACAAGTATATTGGATTAAATAGTAAATCTTTTGTCTTTTTTCATTGTCCCACTAGAAAATTGAAAATTACCTTGTGACTCACATTAGATTTCTTTTGGACAGTGCTGACCCAGTTTATAAAGAAGCTGAGCTCTTAAGTGTCTTACCTGAGGCTACATAGCCATTTAGTTTTGAGCTAAGAATAGAGACCACCTTAACAGGCACTTACCTACTTTCCACTAAATGAATATGTCCTGGGTTTCTAAATGGCCTTTGCATAAAGACTTACTGTACACAATGATTTAAGTGGCGTTTGAGGAAAAAAATACTCCTTTTAGATAGAATTGCTCTCCATTCCTTTCTTCTGTTACACTGAATCCTTTTTCTGTTACATAAATAATCTTGAATTGAAAAATACAAAATTTATTTCAAGCCCAACTTTCTGTAGAAAGAATTTATGGTGAATTTCATGTCATACATTAAGATCACCTCCATTTTCTCTAAGAAAACAAAAATAAAGCACCAACCTTCTATTGTACCTACTTTTCTCCCATTAATTAATGAAAGATTATGGAAACTTTGGATTTCCATCCATTCATTGTTGCACTTTTCTTCCTACCCACCCCCCACCCCCAGTTCACTCTTCTCTTTGAAAAGTAAAAGAAAAATTATTTCATTGTTATAAAATCCCTCCCCCCAAGTCCATTCCACTATGCAGCCTTCGTTCTGGGCACCTGTCATGACAGTAATACCTAATCATACATCCCTTTGAAACTGTTCTCTCCCTCATCAGCTTCAATGCAGTATACACAATTTATCCAGTTTTCTCAATCTCCCCCCAACCCCAATGTCAGTCCCGTTTTACATCAGTGGCACTCTGCAGTATTTGTCCTTTTGTGACTGAGCTATTTCACCCAGCATAATGTCCTCCACGTTCACTCATTTTGGATAATATTTCATGAGTTCCTTATTTTTCAGTGCCACATAATATTCCATTGTGTTAATGTACCACCGCTTCTCTATCCATTCACTTGTTGATGGACACTTGGGTTGTTTCCAACTCTTTGCTATTGTGAACAAAGCCGCAATAAACATGGATGTGCATATATCTGCTTGGGTGGCGGTTATGGATTCTGTGGGTTTTATTTTTGCTGAGTCAAATGGTATTTCTATTTGCAACTTTTTGAGAAAGCACCAAACAGCCTTCCTTAGTGGTTACGCCATTTTACACTCCCACCAGCAGTGAATAAGGGTTCCAGTTTCTCCACAACCTCGCCAGCATTTGTTGTTTGCTGTTCTGTTAAATTTTGCTATTCTAACTTGAGTGAGATGATATCTCATATTGTTTTGATTTGCATCTCTCTTAGAGCTAGGGATTTTTAACATTTGTTCATGGTTTTGTGTGCCATCTGACTGTCTTTGGTGAAGTGTCTGTTCCTATCCTGTACCCGTTTTTCAGTTGGGCTGTTTACCTTTTTCTTCTTGTGGTGTGTACCTACTTTTTTAAATAAGTAATTTCTCCCCTATGTAAGTTTTACAAAATGCTGGTCCTGGTGACTTAAATTTTATTTTTTATTTTTTATGAGAATCCACTTAATCACCTTAAAATAACCGTTATTATTCTTTCATTGTTTATGTTTACAGTTTGAGTCTGCATTTATTCAAACCCTGAGTAAACACAAATGCACATTTATATTGCACATGTTGATTTTGAAAATATTTAAACTCAGTTTGTGGCTTCCACCTTGAGAGCAAGAGTAGATAGTGTTAATCTGTGACTGTTGAACATGTGATCAGGAACATCATAGTAATTGTTGAAACCCTTAAAGAGACTTTGCTTGCTGAATGTATTGAGTACGGAAAAGATGATGAATTGCTCTTCAAACTTTGAACTGAAGCTACCCCTTCAAGTCACCTTTAAACTAAGTAACTGTTTAGTTCAAAGAGAATGATTGTCACCCTTGAGTATCGTACTACTTTAAAAAAAGGCTCCGTAAGACCACAGGTTTAACAGCTATTTTCAAACTGATGAAAAGGTTGAAGGCAAAGCAAAAGCTAAATGAAAATGTGACAGCCACAACAGAAGTAACTAATAGTACAATGTGAAGACTGTGGTCAGTGTCTCTGATCTTTATGTCTAGAAACCGTGGTGTGGCGGCAGGTCTTGCTGTGTATGTCTTCATAATGGCAATTTTTCTTTTTCTTTTTTTTTTTCCAATGAAAGGATTTATTAAACAGCAATAGTAAATTTCTTTAAAGTTGTAACTACAGTAATAGTGTCAGGGCACAGAATTTTCTATTCATTTCATAAAGATTTTCTGATTAATCTGCAATTTCCTTTTTCCAATGTGTTACTATTTCCTTAAGTATAGTTATTTCTAATACTGTGTAATCTCGAGTACCATTTGACTCTGTTGAGAGAAAATGATGGTAAATTTATCTGTTAAAATCCTTTGATAAACATTTCCAAATGATTATGGAAAATAAATTTTCCTTTACAGTAGAGTCCAGTCATTTCAGAACCCATATAATTGTTTCTAAACCCCATTAAATCAATTCCAATTCATGGAAGTCCCGTGTTGTTGTTGTTGTTAGGTGCCATTGAGTCAAGATGACTCACGGTGATCCTGTGATAAACAAATCTGAACCCTGACCTGTCCTAGGCCCTCCTCACCATCTCTGACACACTTGAGCCCATTACTGTAGTCACTGTATTTAGTCCATCTGATTAAGGGTCTTTTTTTCTTTTGCTGACCCCACCACCTTTCCTAGCATGATGTCCCTCTCCAGGGAATAGCCTCTTCTAGCAACATACCCAAACTCTGTGAGGTGAAGCTTTGTCATCTTTGCCTCCAAGGAAGCACTCTAGCTGCACTTTCTCCAAAACTTACCTTTTTGTACTTTTGGAAGTCCATGAGATCTTTAGTACTCTTCTCCAACACCACAACTCAAAATCATTAATAATTTTGTCAACCTTATCCATTGTCCAGGTGTCAGCAGCATAGCGAATGATTGAAGAAGCCATGGTCAAAATCAGATACACATAGGTCCTCAATCTAACATCATTGCTCCTCAGTAATTTGGAGAGGTCTCTGACTGCAGACTTTTCCAGTGGAATACATGTCCTGATCTCCTGACAGCTGGTACCAAGTATTGATTGTGGATCCATGTAAGAGAAAGGCATTGATAATGTCAGTCTTTTCACTGTCTTTCATGATGAGAATTTTTTTGTTTTCTTGATGGTGAAATGCAATCCATATTGAAGGCTGCATACTTTAATCTTATGCAGCAACTGCTTCAAGTCTTCCTCTCTTTAAGAAAGTAAGGTTGTGTCATTTACATAATGCAGGTGATTGATGAGTAATGAGTCTTCTTCATAGAGTCCAACTTTTTAAATAATTTGCTTAGCATACAGTTTGACTATGAAATTGAATAGAAAGAGGATACAACCCTGACACATACCTTTATTCGTTTTAAACCTTGTAACATTCCCTTGCTCTATTCACACAACAGCCTCTTGGTCTAGGTATAAGTTTTGCATGAGCACAGTTAAGTGTTCCGGGATTTCCATTTTTCTCAATGTTAGCTATAATTTCTTTTTATTCAGGTAGTCAAATGCTTTTGCATAGTTGGTAAAGCACAGATAGATGTGTTTTGAGTATTATTTGCTTTCAACCAGGAACTATCCAATATTAGTAATGGTGCCAGGGCCTTTTCTATATCCAGCTTGAACTTCTGGCAGTTCTTTCTATGCACTGTTCTAGTCATTGTTGAATGATCAACAATATTTTGCTTGTGCATGTAATGTTAATAAAATTGTCTGATGGTTTCCACATTCTGTTGGATCATCTTTCTTGAGAATAGGAACAGATACGGATCTTTTCCGGTCTTGGCCAGGCAGTTGCCCTCCAAATTTCCTGGCTTAGACTGATGAGCACATCCAACATTGCATCAATTCATTGAAATATGTCTGTTGGTATTCCATCAGTTCCTTGGACCTTGTTTTTTACCTATGCCTTCAGTGCAGCTTGGACTTCTGACTTCATTACCTTGACTCTTGATCATGTGGTATTTCCTGAAATATTTCCTTGTCAGTCAATCCTTTTTGGTACAGTAATTCTAACCATTACAGTAAGTCAGCCCATTGAACAACAGATCAGCACATTGCCATATCCTGTGCCATTCTCATGATCTCTGTCTTGCCAAGCCCATTGTGGTAGTCATGGTATCAGTGCGTCTTGTTGAGAGTCTTCCTCTCCTTTGCTGACACTCCACTTACTCCAGCTTAATGACTGTACCCAAGGACTGATTCTTTGTAAAAATATGCCCAGAATAAGAAAGACCAAGTTTCACCATCCTTGCCTATGAGGAACACGCTAGTTGTACTCCTTCAGTACAGATTTGTTGAGTACTGTTCTCAGCACCACAGCTCTAAGTTCTTCTTCTGTCACCTTTATTCATTGTCCAACTCTCAAATGCACAGAAAGCCATTGAAAGCATAGCTTAGATCAGTTGCACCTTAATCTCTACATTATCTTTGCTCTTAAGAGTTTTGGAGAGGACCTTGATAGCAGATTTTTCAAATGTCACACATCTTTTGACTTCTTGACTGCTGGTATCATGAGTGTTGACTGTTGAGCCATAAAGTTGTTGACAATCTCGGTCTTTTCTCCATATACCACCTCAGGTTTCCCAAGCTATAAATATCTATAGAAGCCAACTGCAGCATTTTTCTTCCAGGTTGCTCCTGACTCCTTTAGGTTAGCAGCTTTGCTACTAGAACTCTTATTTAACTCTCATTTGAAGGTGTGTGGATAAATTTCAAAGGAATGAAAATGAAGATTAATCTTCTATTTATGGTAGCGAAGTTGATACTCAAAACCAAAAAAAAACCAACTTACTTAACTCTTCATAAAATCTTGGCTGAGAAACACTTTAAAGACTTGGCCCCAAATTGAAACTGGAGGATGAATTAATGGCTGTATAGTTAGTTACGCGATAAAGGGAAATAAAGCGAAATGTTACCAACAGTAAGATCCAGTTGTCAAATGTATGATTGTCCACTTAATTATTGTTCTAACTTTTCTGTGTATTTGAAAATGTTCATCATAAAAGGAGAAATAATGTTTTAAATATCTTAGGAGTAAGTGATAAAAATATCAAATCTTTGATTTATAAGCACTATTCAGTAAGAGATAATGATTGTTTTCTACCTCTGAGATAATGTTTTGTTCTTTTTTTTTCCTTTTATGTACAGCTTTTTTGTTTTCCTCTATCTCACAAAAGACAGTCGTTACCTCACTTTAAATATTATGAGCAAGACTACTTCTGAAGTATGGATGATAGATGCCATGAGTCCTTGGGACCCACCAATCCTTATCCAGAAGCGAATTCCTGGGGTCCTTTACTATGTTGAACACAGAGATGATGAACTATACATTCTCACTAATCTTGGTGAACCTACAGAATTCAAGGTAATTTTAGAATCGTCTTTTGTCCTACTAAGTGGGCTACGGAGAATGCCATATTTCTGTCAACAGGATTTCTGGTCTAATTGTTGCTACATAGGCTTTAGTTAAACGTCAAAATTGATGTAATATTTTTGAGCATAACCAGTCTTGTCACCCTTTGCTTAGAAGTAATTCTACAAATTTTAGTTATACTTAAAACTGACCATGTGCTAACCTTATTATACTAGTTACTGAAGCCAAACTAATTATCTTTTTAAAATACAAATTTATAAACTTAGGAGTTGACGATTAGACTGATCTCATCTGAGTATTGTTTTCCAGTAGACTCAGTAACACATATGCAGTCATCTTAGCGTAGGATTGCATTTTCTTACCAACCAGAAGCTAGTCACCTTTATGGAGCTCTGGTGGCCTAGTGGCGAGAAGCTACGCTGCAATCCCAAAGTCCAGAAACCCACTGGAAGGCCAGCTGTGGGTCGGTTCTAACTCTACAGTATACAACAGCAAGTAGTCACATTTATCCCTGATGCAATATCTCGTCATAAAGCCATGAGGAGGGTCTTTTCTCATCTAATTTTCTGTAGTGTATTTTTTAGATCTTGTATAATCTTTCTGTTTTGTTACTTCCCCCCCCCCAACAGCTAATGAGAACATCAGTTGATAGTCCCGCTGTTATGAATTGGGATTTATTTTTCACCATGAGGAAAAATACCAAAGTTGTGGACTTGGACATGTTTAAGAATCACTGTGTTCTGTTCCTAAAGCACAGCAATCTACTTTATGTTAATGTGATTGGTCTGATTGATGATTCAGTGCGATCTCTAAAGGTATGTGTGCTTAGTGTTCAAAGGGCAGTACTGTAAATTACAGTATACTGTTTATCTTCACAAAATCTAAATTTATAATAATAGCAGTGTTCTTTTTTAAAGAATTTAAATGGGATTGGACATGCTGGGTCTATATCAGATGAAGACAGTCTCTTTTTTGGAAGTGACTGGAAAACCTTGCTTTTAATGCAGTTCTACTTAAAGTTTTGTCTTGCAGCATGGACTTCGACATGCCGTTACATTTTCATTTCTGTATGTAACTCTGTAGCTAATACTCACACCTTTAGAGCAGTAACTAAAGCTACCTTGTCAGCTGATGTGACACTACTGGCTGCTCCCTGATCCCCATTAGGAACACTGGTTTCGCTTATGTTTCTACCACTACGTGCTTTGTCTTATTGTCATCTTCTTTTTGCCAGTTTTGTTATCCTATGGAACTAGGTAAAAGAAGATAAACTTGGCTTTCTTTCAGTATGAGGATATCACTGGTCTCCACAGCAGTATAGAGGAACATGCCTACGTGGTGGGCTGACTCACTGTGGCCAAGAAGGATAGTCTTTCATAACTGAACTTGTTGAAAGAGTAAAGTGCAGCTTTATTATACCGTCTGAAATCAGCATTAACATGCAAGTTAAAGCAACAGAGGCTGAAGGGAAAAGATGCGTTTGTTTTGTTTAATGTGGAAATAGGGCCAATTGATAGAAACACAAGAGACCACTAAAGAGTTCCTTGATTCTAGTACTGTCCTAATTCCTGTTGAATTGTATTCTCGTATACTCACTGAAGGATAATTGAACTACTGTATGTGTTTGACATTATGGGAGGTTGGAGCAAAGTGAGATCCCAAGACAAGGTAGCCTTAAGGGTGATATTAACATAAGAGATTAGACTGATACACAAAGATTAATTATATGGCTGGTTGAATTTAAAATGAATCAAAAAGTAAAGATAAGTGAGGAGAGGAATGGAAAAACCCAAACTGCTCCAAGCGAGAAAAGCTCAGAAATAATAGCAAACTGGTAATAATTCCATTTTATTGAAGCCAAATTCATTTCCCAGAGATGAAGCTGTAATTTAATGTTGTTTGACCACCAAAGTAAGGAAAATATGCATAAAGTCTAAAGAGGGACAGTATGGGAGCTTTTGAGCCAGGAAAGTGATAGGTGAAGGCCCCCTGTATACTTAATGGAGTTATTTGGTAGCAGTGTTGAGATACTTGAAAGCAGGAAGGTAGTCAGGGAGATTAGAGCAAGGGCTTAAAACAACTTAAAAGTTTCTAGCTCTTCCTAAAATCAGATTTCAAATGTGATGTCTTATTTCTTAAGAAGACTGTTACTGTTTGATGTTGAATTGGAGCTATTTCATAGCTGACCCTACCGTGAGTTTTCAGAAATTTCCCTGTCTCCCCCTCGGACCATCTGTTGGATTCGAACTGTTTGGGGTTGGCGGTGTGACTGCCTGCTTACTCGGACACCAGAACTATCTCAGAAGATGTGTGTTCTGTTCTGAAGTGAAAACAGTCATTCACTTTTGAGATTTCCTCATTGCTTTCATCTGCTGAATCCAAAACGTCTTTTTTACTTGTTAATTGATGTCAGAATCAGACGTCTGTTCTTTTTTTTTTTTTAAATAATTTTAATGAACATTTACAGAGAATTTGGATTTCCATTCATTCATTGCTGCATTTCTCTACCTGCCCAGCCCTCTCCCCCTGCCCCCTCAGTTCACTCCTCTCTTTCAAAAGTAAGACTCCCTCCTTCCCTGGTACACAAGCCCCCCGCACCCCTCCCACCGCCCCAAGTACATTCCACTATGCAACCTTAATTGTGAACGCTTGTGATAACCATAATACCCTATCATACATCGCTTTTATTCAGTCCCTCATCTGTTTCAGTGCAGTATACACAATTTATCCAGTTTTTCTCAGTCTTACCCCGACCCTGATATCAGTCCCATTTTACAGCAGTGGCACCATGCAATATTTGTCCTTTTGCAACTGAGATATTTCACTCAGCATAATGTCCTCCAGGCTCACCCATTTTGAATAATATTGAATGAGTTCCTTGTTTTTCAATGCAGCATAGTATTCCATTGTGTGAATATACCACAGCTTCTCTACCCATTCGTTTGTTGATGGGCACCTGGGTTGTTTTCCACCTCCTTGCTATTGTGAACAGAGCTGCAATAAACATGGGTGTGCGGACATCTGTTCTTAATGCAAAGAGACTCTGGTAATTTAGTTGATTATATTTTGTGGTGCAAACCAAAAGGTCAGTTCAAATCTGCTAACAATTTTGTGGGAGAGGAAGATGGTCTGTTTTCCCCATCAGAGGCTGCAGCTTGGAAGCCTGATGCAAGGTTGCCAGGAGTTGGAATCTTATTGTCAGCAGTGGGTTTGGGTTTATTCTTATGATAGCCTATTAGTAATATACTTGATTACAACAAAACTCTGTCGTGAAAATTGAGGACTGTCCTGTGGGATTTACTATTATATTTGACCTTTAAGTAAATACCACCTTTTCTGTTTTCATTAGCAGTCCTACATTCAGTATATGCCTTATTTACATAACTTTAGTCTGTCCTCTGTTTCTTCATTCTGCTTTGTATAGTATTCTGAGTCATCATTGGAAGGAATTAAATATGATATACCAGTTGCTACTTAAAGAGACTTTGGTGGTTCAAGCCATGTCCTTCATGAAATAGATTGCACTGATAGACCTGCCATACCCAAAGAATGTTGTTGTTATGTGCTGTCTAGGTGACTATGACTCCTAGCAACCCTATGAACAATGAATGGCTCTTAACCTCACCCTATTCTGAGCCAACCTCTCCTTCGCCAACACACTTGGCCCCATTGCTACAGTCACTATGTCTGTCCATCTCGTCAAGGTTCTTCCTCTCTCGCACTACATGTACTTTCTAAGCATAATGTCTTTCTACAAGGACTGGCCTCTCCCCCAACAACATGCCTGTAGTATATGAGACAGAATTTTACCATTCTTGCCTCAAAGGAGCACCCTGGTTTTACTTTCTCCAGAATGGCCTGTTCTCTTGGCATTCCATGGGATATCTTCTCCAGCACCACAATTTAAAGGCATCAATTCTTCTGTCATCCTTAGTTATTTTCCAGCTTTTAGATGCATAGCAAGCAATTAAAAAGTCCATAGCTTGTATTGGGCACACCTAAGTCTTTATACTGACATCATTGCTTTTTAGCACTCTGGAGAGATGTTTTTGACAGCACATTTTCTCAATGAACTCTTCCCCCCCACCCCAATTTCCTGACTTATGTTGATATTAGCCAGACCTACATATTTCTGTTTATTTGAATAACACAAGTTTTTCAACTCAGTTTCACCACCAGCCATGTAAAATTTTATATAGTTGTTGTTGTTATGTGCCGTCGAGTCGCTTGCGACTCATAGCAACCCTATGTACAACAGCCCTAA